GAAGACAAATAGGAACTAAAAATAAGCAAAACATAAATAAGTATATAGGTAAAAAACCTACCCTAAGTAGAGACACCAAAATAATATATGTGAAGGTCATGTGAGGGTAAAGAGATAAAAGCCTGGGAACATGCTCCTAAGTATTATAGAAAAAAAAAAAAAAATATATATATATATATATGCACATATATGTAGAGTCCACTAGGGTAAATAGTAGCTAAAGCCTCAGAGAGGTCAAGGTAAGGCCATAGGGACATCCAATATATGGACAAATTAGAGAGAGAAAGGGAGCAAGAAAGCGGACTGGTCCACACAAGACTTCAATAGTAGACCAAATAGCGCTAATAACGGTAGAATCTGTGAATACTGTAACTGGGATTGTAGGTGCCTGGCAGTAGTTACAATACCGATGTAATAGTGGAGCTAAACTGTGGTCACTATTGGAGGTACTTCAAAAAAGTATACCCAGGTAGCTCACTGGTAGAAAACGGAGCCACAAGGGAGCACAGACAAGTGCTAATTAATATATGTAGCCATCCGTGCTGTAAAGGCTCTCTGGAAAATAATGTGTCTCGCTTGACAATATACAATATAGGGGATATCCAGTAGTGATATATCCCCTGACGTGAGACACAGATCACACAGAAACCACAGCGGTAAGTAGATAAATGTAACAGAGGTACATTAGAAAAAAAGCCCCCCTCCGAAATCCGTGATCCATGATCTAAAGCACTTTTTATAATTGACTCTTATAGTTCACATGTATCCTATACTCCTTACAATGACTCCATTCGACCAGGTATGGTCCGATGCTCTTTTCCGCCTACTCCTTGACCTTTATGGGTCCGCTATTTGGCAGTGGTGCAGAGTGCCTCATGTTGTATGCCCGGGGATAGATTTGGTGACTACACGACGGGTAAGTTATATGTTACAGGTTTTTCTTTAGCTTGTTTACATTTTTTATACATTCTTCGTTAAATTTCACTCTATATATATATTTTTACAGCCAGTAATTCGCCTAGTTTTAACATTTACTCAGGGTTCCCTTGATTCTCCCTCTGATCATCTACCGCAGGTGAGCTACAAGTCATGCTTTCTTTGTATGAGGCAGACAATTGTATATAGGAAAAAAGATAAAAGAGGTTAGCGCTAATAATAAATTAAAAATAAATAAGAGGCAGCGGCTTTATAGGGGGTCACCCTCTAACCCTCTACAATAAGAGTATACACAAAAACAAAGAAAAGGCTGCGCCAAAAGGGTGATTAAAACAAGTAAATTAGGTCCAAATAAAATAGTAATAAAATGTTCTAATAAAAGAGTCCCAATAATGGATGATGTCTCAACTGATATGGTGTCTTCTTTGGTAATAGTCGTCCGTCTCACGATATGAAAGACACCAGGAGATTGGCTCTTTCCCATTGTGTCTTTCATATTGTGAGACGGACGACTATTACCAAAGAAGACACCATATCAGAGACATCATCCATTATTGGGACTCTTTTATTAGAACATTTTATTACTATTTTATTTGGACCTAATTTACTTGTTTTAATCACCCTTTTGGCGCAGCCTTTTCTTTGTTTTTGTGTAGACAATTGTATATAGTTATGTGAATACAGTTAGTTGGTCTCAGTTTGTATTATACAGAGTTAGAGACAGGACCACCTGTCCCTTTAATGGATTTAAAAGAGATGTATTAAATAATATATTTCTGCCTTTGATATTATTTCTGTCTTGCTAAATTTTAGCTTTTGTAGATAAGTAAAAGATTTTTCAAGTAAAAGTAAACATGTAACATGTTTATTTTTTAAATTTTTCACCATAATTTATTTTATTTATTTTTTTAAAGTAAATTATATGACATGATAAAGCACTTCTTTTCCTGAAAAAAAAATATATATAATTTGTATCGGAGCAGTAAATGAGAGAAAGGAAAAGTACAGCTAAACACAAACACCACAAAAGTTTTAAAACAGCCCTGGTCCTTAATGTACAACATGGCCAAAACAGTTTGGTCCTTAAGGGGCTAAAACATACATATATTTTTCCTACCCTTGACTTTCTTTTACCAAAAGAGGAGCTTAAGCCAGCTACATTTCCTATGTCAAGGATTAGGGTGAGTGCTTTCTCTGACACAGGAAATAAAGCTGACTTAAACTCCTCCTTTGGTCAAATAAAGTCAAGTCCTTACTTTATCTTATGTTTTAAAGAAAACTAGATCAGAAAAGAAGTACAGATTCTGAGAGAGGAATAGAAGAGAAAACAATAGGAGAAAGGTAAGTTCAGCGTGACAGTGCCACTTTAAGGTTGTGTATCATTTTCAGATGAAAATAAGTTGTTCTTTGCAAGTAGCAGTGACTGCGATATAAAATGGCCTCATCCAAAGGATAATATGGCATGTATGTGTAAAACCATTTCACATTTTGTTCACAGAGAAAGAAGTTGTCTTAAAGATGCTGTCTAATTTTAAAATATCACTGTAACTTTAAATAGTAATGCACTATCCACTGCAAAAAAAAAAAAGCTTTTTTCTTTTGTTAAATTAATTCTGTCAACCACCGTTACAAGGTGGTGTAAGAAGTTAGTCCATAAATATGTCACCTTACAAGCTAGATATTATGAGCAGTGAATTATGGAAATTGTAATGTGCTAGATACTTGTATTGCAATCAAGATCTATTTAGAGAGCCAAGTGATTACATTTCAAGCTGATAGATTGTTCTGGCCTACTGCAAAAGCAATTTTTTTTTTTTTTTTTTAATGGCGTTTTAATGAAAATTAGCAACTAAAATGAATAAGTCAGATTTTTAATTTGTTCATAATTTTTTTTTAACAGTGACTGAGTCATACTGTATCTATTATATATGTTAACACTCGAGCAGCAGCAGAAAAGAATTGTGTGCTTAATCTTGCTTGAGTGATATATCTTGCATTACTGGATGGGGTTTGGGGGGAGGTAGGAGGGTCACGGGTGGTAGCAAGGGGACCTGAATTAAGAACATGATCTCAATAAATAAAGAACTACAAATCCCAAAATTTGTGCCCAGCCTGAACACACACAACGTGTGAATTTAATCATTGCTACTGCCTATTGACTTAGTTTCCTAACACTGCCCTGCTGACTTGAGAGTGTTCAGTATTTCAATGTCTTCCAATCCATCTGCTGAAGTAGTTTGCTGAGCCAGAGCAGAAGAAAAGTTCTTATAAATAATGTATGTTTTATAGTTGGCTCTCAAAATGTCTTAATGCACTCTTTCCACTGAAATCGAAATAGATATATCAGGTGGACAGGAAGAAATTAAATGTCTTATCTTGAAGGCTAAGCCTCTGGAAGCTTCCTTTACGAACAGACCACAGATTGTTCAAGCAATCATTGATGCATTAATCTTCTTTTTTTTCTTTTTCTTTTTTTTTACTCTAGTTCTGTAAGTCAAGACATGGATGCCAGCTGGAATATTATAAATATAATATTGCAGAATAAAATGTAGAACTATATATCCAGAAAAATAATTGCATTGTTTTTAGTTTCTTTTTGTATTGGCTTATCCTCTTTTATCTGTTTTATATAACTAGGTAATACATTCTTACTATGGCTGTTTGTACTGCAGCAAATGATCCTTTTCAGCCATTAACAATATTTAAGGTAAGCCAGCAGTCAACCTAAGGTTATTTACTTATGTTCAAATTATGTGAGAGCTTAGAGGCCAGGCAGGAATTCTAATACTTGTACAGCAAATCTCATTAAAGGAGCACACATAATGCAATAATGTTTGACCCTAACAATGTATATTTAAACAGGTTAAAATATCATTCATTACTCAAATAGTATTGCTTCAGGCATTTCATGGCAAGTTTAGAGACTTATGTTATGAAACTGTGCATAGTGCTACATTTTGACTGAAGTGCACAATTTCATTGGCTTCTATGGCAATCGATCCTCTCTTGGCAGTGTTCCATAATTGCTCTAATTTTTCAGTGATTAATATGCCTCTGAATGAACACCTGCAGAGATCACATTCATCACTGTCAGTGCTCATTCTTGCTACACAGAAAACCAGGACATTTAGATGTCAGTTTTCAGATTCTTGGAATACTGCAACAGTGCTCACTACCAGAGATTGTCCATAACAATCTTTTGTTTTGTGTTCTCACCACCAAAGTTTAGAGGATACAAGGGACAAATGCTACAGACTACAAAAGAATATGAGATGTTTGGTAATTGGTTCTGTTCAATTATGGAATCAACCCACCCAACTGGCATTCAAAAATGTATTGCAAACAAAATATAACTAATGTACATTACTTTTCTTATTATATATCAAAAAATAATACATGGGGGGGCGGAGCTTGACCACCAGGCAGAGCAGACATGGGTCACACAAGCTCCTGCCTGGCAGACAGAAATTGGGGCAAAATCGGTGGCTATACAGCCCAAGGAACTACCAGGGCGCTCCACCCAGATCGGGGGCACACCACTGAATCAAGCAACACCTCTCTGGAGCCTGTCGGGACAGAACACCACGTGCGGCCTACTGGAATTGGAGCCGGGGAGAGGCGGCCACTCCCCCCGACACCATCCCCCTCGAGCGATTTTGCTGGTCTCCTACCCCCCCCTTTGGACCGGTGGGGGTTATCCCGGTCCCTACTGGACACTCAGACCAGAACTGTTGACAAGCCTACACGCTACATAATCTGCGGGGGCAACGGACTACTGAGGCACTCGCAAGATGGCGGCTCAGCGCAAGCCGCAGACAAAAAGCACATTAACCCAGCCACCAATGCAATCTCTGGAGGCTTTCAATCGGCTCTGCAGGAGTTTTTGGTCAGTGCTCTGCCAGCGTGGAATTCCCTACTTCCTAGCAGTCAAAACAGTGGCCTCCTGGATCCGCCCTGCGACCCGGCGACACCAATATGGGCACTTAATACACGCACCCAGAGCGCTCATCAGGCTGAGCAGACATTGCAGACGACAAAGCGTGAAACAGCGACACATCACTCAGATGGACTCTCCCGCTCACATGGGAGCTGCTGCATCAAGCAAGCCTCATCTGCACGCCACCCACCCGACCCAAGACTCACAGATCAGCACAGCTCCACGCCACACAGCATTGGACGACCTCTGCACTGCTGAACATGAGACCATCATGCCGAACACCGCTGGAGTGGGAACCGAGCCCAGAAGCTCCATTGGAGGTGCCTGCTGCGACAGACCAGGGGACATTCCAGCACTGAGCATAGGCTGAGACGCCCATTACGCCCCACAGCCGGCAAGCCGTATTTCACATCATGAGCACACACCTTCCGGCTGTCGAACTGTCTAATCTGCATGAACTGACACCTTGTTTAATGATGATGCGGGCAAGGATGGGTTCATAGATCTTATGGAGCTTAAACGAATGATGGAGAAACTTTGAGCTCCTCAAACCCATCTTGGCCTCAAGGAAATGATTAAAGAAGTCTGGGAAACTTAGTTTTAGGGAGTTTCTTTTAATCTTCCGCAAAGCAGCTGCCGGAGAGCTGGAGGAAGATAGTGGCTTGCATGCCCTAGCAAGGCATTCTGAGATCGATGTATCCACAGAAGGAGTCAAAGGAGTCAAAAATTTCTTTGAGGCGAAGGTACAAGCAATCAATCATGGCAGCTGGTTTGAACAGGAGATCAAAGCAGAACAAGAAGAGAAGAAGAGGCAAGCGGAGGAGAAAGAACAGAGGAAAGCTGCATTCAAAGAGCTCCAATCTGCCTTCAAGCCATAGAACAGAGTTACATATTTTCTTAGCATTCAGAGAGAGACAAAATCAATATATTTATAAAATGATATATAAACTATAGAGAAAAAAAACCACTCCGATTTATTGCTTAAGGGTTGGGTGGACCAATAGAGTTTACCATTTTACAAGTGATTACATTTTTTTTAATTAATTTGCAGACAATATTTTTTATGTCATTCAACAGCTGGGTTTTTTTTTAATTTTATTTTTCTGTGTTTGCATGAAATGTGTAAATAAAATTGGATGGCAGCTAAAAAAAAACAAACAAAAAAAAAAAACGAATACATGTATCCAAAAAACTGATAATTTGTTACCAACTGGCAACTGTAAACATTCTTATGTGGGTGCAGTCTTATATTGTTGTTTTGCTGTTTTATGAGAAAACTGCAACTATGCAGAACATATGTTTTAATATTGCTTATGTATAAAAGTGCCCTGTGTGTTCCCAATATATGTTGGATTGAAGTACAAAAACACTGGTTTAGCTCGATTTCCTGGTATCTACCCAATTAAAAGTAGCTGCTTTTTAATTTTGGCTGTTGTGTATCCTCGGTTGTGGATAAATGTTCTTCAGGTGTAGAGATCAGTTAAGTTGACATGGTTGAACATGTATACATCTTACAAGACCAGTACAATCTATTAAATCACATCAACTTCAACCTTGTGCCATTCTTAGTGTTTCATGCCTCTTTTAATAATACACTACTCTTTAAGTTAATTGTCTGTAACCTCTCACTGGACTTCATGTGATTCATAGCAAAATTTGAGGGTTGAAATGGTGATAATACATGAATTATGTTCCTTCTTCAGATTATTGCAAATATCCCAGGTGAAGAATATGTTGTACTTTCTATATCTTAGAGATTGCTTATATGCATTTCAAACATATGAGTGGTTCACCTTCAGTAACATGCACAAAAGACAATAAGTGATGAAAGCTCTCTATTTCTGAATGTGCATGGAACGTGGTGATTGAACTTCTAGATGAGTTCATATTGCTGTTTGAATTGCCAACGGAAATACAGTATACAATATCAATGTTATTTCCATTATAATCTTTTTGTGTGGAGTCACTTCTGTGGTGTACCTTTAATCATGCATTTCCATGTAAGAGGAGACTTTGGGAACTATGGAGTGCAAGGTGCCTTTACCCAAAACATAACACATCAAGCATTTGTTGTTGATTTTTTTCACGGCAAGGAAGCTTTTAGACTAATGCAAGGAGGGGAAAAAAAGCTGAGTTAATAAGAATATCCACATAACACTGATTGCTATGTATATATCAAATAAGGCAAGCTATTTTTTACTAGAAGAAAATAAGTGTATATATAAACATTAAGGTACACCAGGGGTTGTCAACCTGGTCACTAGTGTGCAGTTTGGGAATTCAGGTGGGCGGTGGTGGGTTCAGCAGAAAATGCCCAGTGGGCCTGGATGGCTCTGGACCAAAGCCGGCAGGGGAGATCCTTTCCTCTTCCCTGATGGCCTATGCAGAGCCAGCCTTGCTGTAAGCCCTCTCAGGCCGGTGAGGAGATCAAAGATCTCCCTCACCGGCTTGCCGGGACTTAGTTCCAGCAGAGGGAGGGAAGGGCCTGGGAGGCTCTGTGTTCTACCCGCGAGCAGGCTGGTCGGAGCATTGCCGCACGTTACCATGGCAATGCTCCAATACAGTGCTGTGCTTGTAGGAGGACAGGAGAGTCAGCCTGCAGCTGGAAAAGCTGCAAGCTAAAGTGAACATGCCACCACTAGACCACCAGGGCTTGCAGCATTATGTCCCCCCTCCCTGGTAAAAGGTAAAAAGAAGGGAGGGAGAGACATTAAGATTTTCTTTCACATCTCACCCACCTATGCAACCTTCACACCCCTCACACAGATTGCCCCCTCACACGCACTGCCCCACTCCAACACACAGCACTTCACAGACACACATAGAAAAAAAAAAAGTAGAATAGAAAAAAAGGAAAAAAATAGATATATTTAAGTACTTTTTTTTTAAACTCCTTTCTAAAAAAAAAATGGCACTTGCACGCGGTATTAAATTTTACCATCAACAAAGATATAAAAGTGGGCTATAGGTATTAAAAGGTTGACTTCCCCTGAGGTACACAATATGGACCCAGACCACTTCATCTCAATCTCAAAATTAGTATCAATCTAAGGTAAAAACAACTTTATTGGGACAAAAAGACATCCATTACACATAAAAAAGTGAAAAAGTGTGATGTGTAGGAAGAAATGATGGAGTGACTCCTAACTCTTGCTACTTAGTATATCTAATGAACTCTACAAGTTACAAATGTAGTATACATTGAAAAAAGAACACAGTAACAGGTTGCTTACAGTATGTCCTTATCTTGGTTGTAAACAGTCCCTATTGGATATATGTAGAGAGGACAGAGGTCTAAAGAAAATAGTATAACTAGGATAGTAAGATGGGTCTTTATTAGTATATATCGAAGGGGGGGCCTTTTAGTATAAATCAGGGAAAAAAAAATATTATAGGTGCCCTAAGTGATGATCAATCACTAGAGCAATACAGAGTCAATAGGTCTCAAGAGAACTGGAAACTTAAACTATTGCACAGAAGCTACAGCTCCTGTTGAGCATAGATCAATGACAGTTAACTGACAAGTGCCAGGATAAGAGCTATAGGGCTAGAGAGCCAGCGCACAAACGATCGGTAAACGGATAAAACTACCTAATGTTCTTCGTACTAAGCACACCTCCCCTCTGCTGCTTCGAGGCAGCCTCCACCCCTAACTTAGCTAGAGACGTCAAGTTAAATCAAACAGGTAGCCTGAGAGACATCTAAGTCACACCATTGTGATATAAATAAAAATGAAAAACAGAACTGTCGGCAGCCCGACACGCGTAAACCAGTAACCAACCTCTTGCTGATGATTTGCATTAACAATTAAACAGCTGTCCATGAGTGGTTCCCTGGCTTTGCATCTTTTCCTAAGTTGTATTTCAAAGCTGTTGTATATAGCAAACAAAGACTCAAAAGGAATCCATGTTTAAAATGGAATGAGGCAAAAATTTGATTCTTTGTTAAACTAATTTGCATATGCCCACCAGTGGCGGATCCAGGGGAGGGGGCAACGGGGCAATTGCCCCCCCCCAAGAAAACTGACGTTCTCCCTCTCCCCTGCCAGCACATGCAGGCGCCAGCCCTGCAATGTGCCTGCATGGACCGGGGAGGGAGATCAAAGATCTCCCTCCCCGGTCCACAGACACTGTGCTGGCAGCCATGAGAGAGGACCCGGGAGCTCAGCCTGCAGCTCCTCCGGGTCCTACTCTCGCGAGCACGGAGCGTTGCCGCGGTTACCACAGCAATGCTCCAAATCTCGTGGGAGTGAACTCTAGCCCTGGAGCGCGGGCTAGAGTTCACCTCACCACCACTGGGATCACCAGGGATTCCCCACTGGACCACCAGGGACTAAGAAATTTCCCCCCTCCTCCCAGTAAAGGTAAGAAGGGAGGGGGGACATAAAGTATATTTATTTTAATTAAATAAAAAAATTTAAAAAGCATATTATAAAAAAAGCCCCCCTAGCCTTATCACACACACACCCTACACACACACACTGCCCCCATACACATACACTGCCCTCCCACACACACACACACACACTGCCCCCCATATATACACACTGCCCCAGACACACACACACTACCCCCATACACATACACTGCCCCAGACACACATACACTGCCCCACACACACACACACTGTCCCCATTCACACACTGCCCCACATACACACACACATACACTGCCCCCCATACACTGCACCCCATACACTGCACCCCATACACTGCACCCCATACACTGCACCCCATACACACATACACTGCCCCTCCATATACACACACTGTCCCCATACACACATTGCCCTACACATACACTGCCCCCCCACAAACACTGCAACTGTCACACACACATACTGACCCACACATACACTGTACCCCTAACACACACTGCACCCCTGACATACACTGCTGCCCTCACTCACACACTGCAACCTTCACATACACACACTGCTCACACACTGTCCCTCACACACACACACACACACACTGCACCACTCACACACACACCACTGCTCCTATGCCGTATGACAGCCCCATTTCCCAGCAGACCTCAGGTAAATTGTCAAACTGTTCTTAAACGGTTTTACTACTTACTCTGGGAGGGGGTCCCGGCACTATTGGCACCATAACCACTACACTGAGCTGTAGTGGTTATTGTGTCTGGATTATTTATTTAAATAATCTACAAGTGCCCCACCTGAGATCAGGCTCTGGATCCGCCACTGATGCCCACCCAGAATCCTTTGCAGTAGTAACATCACTGCAAATTTGTGATTTCTGTGGGAAAGTCTTATGGCTTGACTGGTGTGCATATTTTGGTTTAACATTGTAATTATATATATATATATATATATATATATATAAAAAATACAAAAATCCCCTGCACTCACGTCCAAAATCCTACTACCGGGCGCAAACACCAGGGCTCCACGTAACACAGACTCCAAAGTGGCAAAGGCTGCTCTCCGGTTTTACAAAAGTTTTATTGAATCAAAATAAAAACAATGACCGACGTTTCAGTCCCAGCTCGGGACTTTCCTCAGGGTCCAACAAAACAGAATAACCTGTTTTGTTGGACCCTGAGGAAAGTCCCGAGCTGGGACTGAAACGTCGGTCATTGTTTTTATTTTGATTCAATAAAACTTTTGTAAAACCGGAGAGCAGCCGTTGCCACTTTGGAGTCTATATATATATATATATATATATATATATATATATATATATATATATATATATATATATATATATATTCCAAAGTATTCCTGCACTCACGCTTGAAGTATCCCTTAAAGATCGGATGCTAGCATGCCATGGCTAGTTTTATTTATCCTGAGCGTCCTTATGGCTTTTCGGGATGCTATCGTGGCAAGATTCTACTTAATAGAGAGATATTCTGGATATATGAACTGGACACTGTATTTCCAAAGGACCTGAACGAAACTCTCTTTCCACTCTTTTTTATAAACTCTTTTGTATAAGTTTGTTTTTTTCTCTACTTGCTGCATCACAGCCTGTTCACAGCATCTCAGTTATATCTACATTTAAAATGCCCTACCCTGAAGTATTTTAGAGTTATTAGTCCTAGTTTCATGATGTTTTGCCCTAGCCATTAATACAATACATCTAAATTGAAAGTACAAGATTATTTTTTGTGAAATATGTGTAAATGTATATTTCATGCTTAGTATAAGGGAGTAAGTACCCGCTTACCTGTATATATTCTATGGCAGCAATTACGTTTTTTGGCAGCATTGTGACCAGGAGTTTTTAATATGTGTATGTAGTAGGTGTTTGTCATATGTGTGTTTATATGGTGGTTTATACACAGCATTAGGCTTTAAACCCTTTGTATATTTGGGGTATCCAATAGAGCCACAGGTTTCTCCATTTGTTAGTGACTAATTTTTTATGGTTTGGCACTTAGCACTTTTCTTCACTGGATTTTATCACCAGCACTTTAACTGTTTTCTTATGCACTAGTCACTTTGCTTAAACATTGAAAATCATAATGCTATTGTTAATTATAGCAATTATGCACTTTTCCTAATGCAGCCTGTCACTTGAAATATGCACCACCAGCTCTTTTAGCAATATTATAGTGGTACTTTATCTCCTCTACTTATATAACCACAGCACTTATGCCACAATCCCACAACACACCATTCGTCCACTGGATCATACTAACTCAGTTTTTGATCCAGCACATGTTTTATATGCACTGCTGGTTTCCCCCTGTGTTTATCTTGTCTCCATGGCGAGCATGTAGCTATTTGCGTCGCCACGGAGACGGTTCAGACGTCAATACGCAATGAGGTCATTTTGGGGCGGAGCCTATTCGCACAGCTTTTCACCTGGGGGTAAGTCAATTATGTCGATATCTTTGTGTATATAAGTAATTATTGTTTCTAATGAATTTGTCTTTGATCCTGATGAAAGTCCTCTATGTAGGACTGAAACGTTGATCGCTTTTTAAAGATTTTCTAATAAATTTTGGACTTTTAACAAGTGAGTGCTCCTGCCTATTTTGGATGGATACATATATACATACATACATACATATATATATACATACATACACAAATATAAGGTAATAGTCTGCACTCACGGTCTTGATTGAAACGTAGTGTTTTTTCCCTCATTGCTAAAATGTGCACTCTGTAAAGTGCATACAGTGATGCACTGACACTAGAAAGAGGTATGATAATAAAAGCAATGCATATGGTCTTATGGGCTCAAGTACCATATCTTGGTAAATATGAGCAAATGCTGCAATTACTCCATCCCAATGATAATGCACAGTGGACCTCTACAAATAACCCATTCTATAACAGGCTGTACAAGATTCAGGCCCTCATCAAACACCTGTCTTCTGAAAATGACACCTCTTTACAGAACATATATATAGGTGAATGTCTGATGAAATTTAAAGGAAGATTGGTTTTTTTTTTTATAGTGGGCAAAATGGGCACACTATAATTACAATTATTCGTATAGTGCAAATGTATTCCTCAGCACTGTACAATAGGAAACAAGACAAACATTTAATTCTAACAAAAATAGTATAACATACGAGAACAGTAGGTGAAGACGTTCCTGCATAAACTAGTTTACAACCTAAAACTATGGCATAAAATTTTACAAATAATGCAAATGCACTACAGATTATACTTGTGTATTTCATTTTTGATATTATAATGCCAACTTATTGTGTTACAACATTATTTAGAGGGAATATAACAAAATAATTAGACAAACTTATACACATGTTGCCCAGAACAATAGGATGAGGAAGATCCTCCTCAAACAAGTTTATAATCTAGAGCAGGTGGGGTATAAAAACACAACTGGAAAGAAAATGTGGGGAATAGTAACCAAGTGACAGAGTGGAAAATTACTAAATTGGAGTGAGAGTGAAGTGGAGAATGGATCCACTACATAAATTGAGAGAGTAAGATATAGGTTTTAGGAATGACAGTAACAGTATGTAATGACAGTATGATTAAGTAGACTCTTTCAAGTAGGAGTTAGAAAACCAGGAGTTGAAACAAACAAGGGGTTCAAACTAACAAGGTAATTGGTTTTTTTTTCTGTTTCAAGGGGATATGAGTGTTAGCAAGATTGCTGGTTTAACTCAATGCAAATCTTGTTGCATGTATGGATGCCTGGATGTACCCATCCAGGGTCCATACCTCTGTGATGGTTGTGTGCGAGTGGCTTCTCTGGAAGCTCAGATTGGAGATCTCGAGAAGCAAATCGCAACTTTGAGGGAGATTGACAATCTTGAGAGGAGTCTACTGCTCACTGAGCAGAGTTTAGTGGGGACAGGTAGTGGAGAGGGAGGAGATAAGACAGATGGGGAACAGGCATGTAGCTGGGTGACAGTGGGGCGAGGAAGCAGGGGGGGGAGGGAAGAGGAAAGGGCTAGCTAGTCCTGATTTGGTGCAACCTAGCAGATTTGCCCGTTTGAGGGAAGATGTTGGGAGCATCAGCTCAGGAGTAGCTGTATTAGAGGAAGCTGTTACTTCTAACAGCCGAGCTAACAGCCCCCCTAGTACGGGTGGGGATCAAAATGTAAGGAAGGCAAGACAGGTTGTGGTGGTAGGGGACTCTATCATTAGGAGAGCAGATAGGGCAATCTGCCGCTCTGATCGGCTCAACCGGACAGTTTGCTGTCTCCCGGGTGCTCGGGTCTGGCATATTGCTGACAGAGTGGATGGATTATTGGGAGGGGCTGGGGATGACCCAGCGGTCATGGTCCATGTTGGTACCAATGACAAAGTAAGAGGAAGATGTAAGGTCCTAAAGATTGATATCAGGGAATTAGGTAGCAAACTTAAGAAAAGGACCTCCAAGGTGGTATTCTCTGAGATATTACCTGTGCCACGCGCTACAGTGGAAAGGCAGCGGGAGATTAGAGAGGTCAATGCGTGGCTTAAGTCTTGGTGCAGGAAGGAGGGTTTTGGGTTTTTAGAGCACTGGGCCGACTTTGCGATTGGGTACAACCTTTATAGTGGTGATGGATTGCACCTAAACGGGAGAGGGTCTGCAGTGCTGGGGGATAGGATGGCTAGAAGGTTGGAGGAGATTTTAAACTAGTAGTAGGGGGGAGGGTCATAGCAATCTACAAAATGGAGATAGGACAGAAAGGAGATGGGCTTTAGCACAGTATAAGGGGGGTGGAAACGGGGGGAGGGGCAAGCTCAGAACAGAGAAGCTGTGTAATGTTGAAAATTCACAAAATATACAAGTGACGCATAATATTAAATGTATGCTTACTAATGCAAGGAGCCTAAATAACAAAATGGGGGAACTAGAGGCATTAGCATACACTAAACAATATGATATAATAGGCATAACTGAAACATGGTGGGATGAGACACATGACTGGGCAGCTAACTTAAATGGGTACATGTTATTTAGGAAGGATAGGAAAAACAAGAAGGGTGGTGGGGTATGTTTGTATGTCAAACATGATTTAAAGCCAAATGTTAAGCAAATGGAATGCGAGGAGGATAATGTGGAAGCTTTATGGGTAAATATCTGCTTGGGGGAAAAGAAGGGAAACCAACTATTGGTTGGGATATGTTATAAACCACCTAATGTTAATATTGACGAGGAACAACAGCTGTTTGAGCAAATTGAGAAAGCTGCAAATCTGGGTAACACTTTAATTATTGGAGATTTTAATTACCCGGATATAAATTGGGACAGAGGGACTAGTGCCTCAGCAAAGGGAATTAGGTTTTTAAACTTGTTAAATGACACCTTCATGTCACAACTTGTGCAAGCACAACTAGAATGGATGCTTGTCTGGACCTGGTTTTAACAAACAACGTTGATCTTTTGACCAACATTCAAGTAGGTGAGCACTTGGGAAATAGTGATCACAATATAGTGTCCTTTGAAATAAACTCAAAAAAACAAAAGCACATGGGGAATACTGAAACATATAATTTTAAAAAGGCCAATTTCAATAAGTTAAGGGAAGCTTTACAATATATTGACTGGCATAAACTCTTTAGTGAAAAGAATACTGAGGATAAATGGATCATCTTCCAACAAATATTACAAAGGTACATTTCTCAGTATGTACCGTTGGGAAATAAATATAAAAGAAACAAATTAAAACCAATGTGGCTTAGTAGAGAAGTAAAACAAGAGATTACAACTAAGAGAAGGGCATTTAAAGCATTTAAATCGGACAAATCAGATGCATCTTATAAAAGATATAAGGATGCAAATAATGCGTGCAAAAAGGCAATTAGACTTGCTAAACTTCAAAATGAAATAATGATAGCTGAAGAGAGCAAAACCAGCCCCAAAGCATTTTCTAAGTACATAAATTCTAAAAAACCCAAAATGAAAGTGTAGGTACACTAAAAACTAAAATGGGGGTGTTAGTTAATGAAGACCAGGAAAAGGCAGGAATTTTAAATAACTATTTCTCCTCCATATATATTAAGGAAGAACCCATGGCAAAAGATGTGCAAATGATTGCTGCTAAAAACTAAAAAACAAGACAAGGTGCTGCAGCAACTAAAGAAAGTTAATATAAACAAAGCTCCAGGGCCTGACGGTATCCATCCACGTGTACTTAAGGAACTAAGTGCAGAAATAAGTGAACCTCTGTTTTTAATCTTTCAAGATTCTTTTCTTTCAGGAAGTGTTCCGGAGGATTGGAGGAAGGCAGATGTGGTTCCTATATTCAAAAAGGGTTCAAAATCCTTGCCTGGAAATTATAGACCTGTGAGCTTAACTTCTGTGGCTGGTAAAATATTTGAAAGGTTATTAAGGGATAATATTCAAGAATTCCTTGAGAAGAACATGGTTATCAGCAAAAATCAGCATGGTTTTATGAAGCACAGGTCATGTCAAACTAACTTGATTGCGTTCTACGAAGAAGTAAGTAGAAGTATAGATCAGGGTGTTGCCGTGGATGTGATCTATTTGGATTTTGCCAAGGCATTTGATACAGTTCCACACAATAGATTAGTGTTCAAACTCAAGGAAATCGGTCTAGATGAAAATGCTTGTTCTTGGGTAGAACATTGGCTTAAAAACAGAGTACAAAGAGTTGTCATTAATGGTAAATTTTCAAGCTGGACAGAGGTGGCAAGTGGTGTCCCTCAGGGGTCTGTTCTGGGACCCCTTCTATTTAACATGTTTATAAATGATCTTGAAGACCGCATTGAAAGTCATGTTTCAGTGTTTGCAGATGACACCAAACTTTGTAAAACAATACAATGTGAGCAAGATATTACTTTGCTGCAGAGGGATTTAGATAGACTGGGGGACTGGGCACTCAAATGGCAGATGAAATTTAATGTTGAAAAATGCAAAGTTATGCACTTCGGCGTAAAGAATACACAAGCAACGTATACCCTTAATGGAAGCGAATTAGGGATAACAACACATGAAAAGGACTTGGGAATTGTTATAGACAACAAACTATGCAACAATGTGCAATGTCAATCAGCAGTGGCCAAGGCCAGTAAGGTATTGTCATGCATGAAAAGGGCATTCATTCTCGGGACAAGAATATATTTTGCCTCTTTATAAATCACTGGTAAGACCCCATATTGAATATGCTGTGCAATTTTGGGCACCTGTTCTAAAGAAGGATATTATGGCACTAGAAAAAGTGCAGAGGCGGGCTACAAAATTAATAAAAGGAATGGAACATATCAGCTATGAAGAAAGGTTAACAAATTTAAACCTATTTAGTTTAGAAAAACGTCGCCTGAGAGGGGATATGATAACATTATACAAATATATTCGGGGCCAATACAAACCATTGTGTGGAAATCTATTCACAAACCGGACTTTACATAGGACACGAGGCCATGCGTTTAGACTGGAAGAAAGAAGATTTCGTCTAAGGCAAAGGAAAGGTTTTTTACTGTAAGAACAATCAGGATGTGGAATTCTCTGCCTGAGGAAGTGGTTTTATCAGAGTCCATACAGATGTTCAAACGGCTACTAGATGCATACTTGCAAGAACAGAATATTCAAGGATATAATCTTTCAATGTAGGGTAATAACTGCTTGATCCAAGGATAAATCTGACTGCCATTCTGGGGTCAAGAAGGAATTTTTTTCCTAGCTTGTTGCAAAATTGTGCTTCAAACTGTGTTTTTTTGCCTTCTTTTGGATCAACAGCAAAAAACAAATGTGAGGTAGGCTGAACTTGATGGACGCAAGTCTCTTTTCAGCTATATAACTATGTAACTATGTAACTATGTAACCCTGGAAGTCCATAGGAAATTTTGAAGAGGTGGGCTTTTAGGGACTTCTTAAAGGATTTTAGACTTGAAGAAAGTCTGACAGGGCAGGAAGGCTGTTCCATAACAATGGAGCCACCCATGAGAATTTAGCAGTACTGGTACGAGGAGCGGACAGTTAAAGGTCATTGGTCGAGGAAAGCACTAGAGAAGGAGTGTACCTGTGAACTAGTGTAGAAATGTGGCAGTTGCAGAGTTGTTAAGAGTTGTGTACTTAAAGGTTAATATTTTGAATTTAATATTTAGGGTACAGGAGACCAATGTAATGATTGACAGAGAGATGAGAGTAATGAGAGTAGTGACAGGAGAGAAGAGTAAGTCTGGCAGCAGCATCAGCAGCATTCATTATGGACTGTAGGGAGGCAGCACGGTTTCAAGACAAACCAATTAGGAAAGTATTGCAGTATGGGAGAGTGGAGGGATACAGGGTTAAAGGCACGCAGTGTGGGAGTTGATTAAGTGAATAGAGGTAATTAGACATAGCTGGTGTGCTTGCATGAATAGGAGTTTGGTGAATGTGTACCTAGGGGTCAGTACTGATTTTTCAGAATTGCTTTATCTGGAAGTCAGCAGCAAGTTCTAGATGAAACTTGTGAATGCTGTTGTTTAGGTTATAGGCTGTAATAGAGAGTCATATGTTAGAAAGAACAGTAATTATGGTTGGAAGAAGCATGCAGATATTGAGGTGACAACTAATCAACCAAAAGAAACAACACTTGAGAACTGAAAATTAGTAGAATACCGGTGTAACGGATCACCTGGCACCCCGACTGGGTACCTCCGTTGAAGGATGCTCCTAGCGCTTACAGAGGGCTCCAAGCGCTCCGCCAGACACCACAACCACCATAGACCCCATTAACCGCCACAGCTTAGTTGGGGTCTCGCCGTCTCCTACCCACCCTGGACCTACAACAAGGCTCCAGGTTCCAGTGGGTGAACCTCTCCTCCAAGAGAGTGAAGCAGGAACAAGCTCTTAAAAGAGCTTAGAAGTGATTATCCAAGAGAGCATGCAGAGCATAGCAATCCCTTGTAGTGATATAGCAATTTCCCCAATAAGAGACAGGACTCTAAATTGAGGGTGAAGAAAAACTCTGTTTACTTGGCACCAAATGGCCTTTTTTATGCAGGTTTAACACATACAGGACCACTCACAGGGTTTTACAGAACAACCAATGAACACAGTACACAGTTCAGGAGAA